TCTTAGTTGTGGAGGGCGCAGCTAGCTCAGCTCCAAGTGCAGTCACGCTGCTCAGCTCAAGATGCCGTGTTCAATCTTAGTTGTGGATGGGTGTACCCACCATCCCATGTAGGAGTCGAACCAGCAACCTTGTTGTTAGGAGCACGTGGTCTCACCAGCTGAGCCATCCAGCCGCCTGTTGGCAGCTCAGCTCGGGCACAGCTCACTGGCCCATGTGGGAATCGATCCGGCGACCCTGTTGCTCAGAGCTCATGCTCTTAACCAACTGAGCCATTTGGCCGGCCCCAAAAATATATACTTTAGAAGCCATGTACTTCCTGAAGATGAGAACTTCAGGGAGCTGCAGGTGTCAAAACGGACCTTTGTGCAGCACCTACTGTGTTCACGGCACTTCAGCAGTCAGTGGCGTTCCATCACGTGGCAATGGGGGGAGGTCGGCATGATTTTTCTCCATGTGCATGTGGACTAAGGAAATATGGCTCAGAAGTTCAGCCACTTGCCTAGGGCCACACAGAGAGGAAATGGCAGGGCTGGAATTTCTACCCAGATGTTCAAACCCAGAGGTAATGTGGTGCAGTACTTACAAGTGGGGGCTCTGGGTTCAAATTCCAGCTCTGTCACTTAGAAGCTGTGTGATCTTGGGCAAGTAGCTTAGCCTTTCTGGGCTTTAGTCTTCTCACCTATGAAGTGGAAATAATACTTGTGCCTCTACCTCATGTGGTCACTGAAAGGATTATGGATGGAGGTTTAGAACACAGCGTGGCTAGCTAAGGGTCTGGGATCGCTTTACTCTAAGACACATGCACATCCCACTGTGCCATCCTACTGGCTGTTTGCGTGGAGCCTGTACAGTATCTAACCCAGCCCCCACCTCTCCCCCCACCGATGGGCAGGCATGCAGGAAATATACTTCAAACCCCGGAGGTAGTGGAATCAGGACCCAAAGTGGGAACCAGGGACTGTAAGTCACTGTTCCTGGTGAGCGCCGTCTTCTTGACAGCTGGAATGTTCTAAATCCTTCTAAGACCTGGGCAGATTGGAATTTTAAAATGTGTTTCCCCTTTTAGAGCGAGCCATGCCTAAGTATTTCTGGCCTGTGAAAGGAACATAGTTTCAGAGCCAGGGCAGAGAAACCGTGCGTGCTCCCACAACCCAATGAAAACCCCCGCCACCAAGCCCTTTCCCTTTGCAGCCCATGTGGGCTTCCTGGGGGCTGCTCAGGCGGGCCGGGGGGGGGTGCCCAGTAGGAAGATGGCCCATAGGCTTGGCTGGTGGATAGGCAGCTGAGGGGAGGGGTCAGGAACTAGGGAACCCTGGGAATTCCACAAGCCACCATGAGTGTGGTTTTAAACACGCACCGACCCCAGGACCAGCAATTCCACTCCTAGGTAGCTACCCAACAGAACGCCTCATGTCTTTTCAAGAAAAGCCAGGGGCTAGAATGTTCAGAGGAATAGCATTCGTGTTAGACTAAAATGGAAAGCAGTACGCAAAAGCCCATCAACAGTGGGATAGGTGAATAAATGATGGCATATTCACTGATGGAATGCTATACAGCAATACAAAAAGCATTGAGTACTACTACACGCAAAAACGGGGAAGAATTTCACCCACGTAATACAGAGCCAAAAGCCAGACTCAAAGAGGATATCTGATATATTTCTATTTATATGAAGTACAAAGACAGTGAGCACTGACACACAGTACAACGTGGATGAACCTCAAAAACATCACACTGATTGCAAGAAGCCAGACCCAAAAGACCACATATGTATGATTCCATTTATATGAAATGTCCAGAATGGGCAAATCCATAGAGACAGAAATTCGATTAGTGGTTGCCAGGGGCTGAGGGATTGAGGGGTGACAGCTAAAGGGAATGGGGTTTCTTTTGGGGGTGATAAAAATATTTTAAAATTGATTGTGGTGATGTTTACTCGACTCTAAACATACTAAAAGCCATTGACTTGCACATCATTGAATTGGTTGGTTGTGTGGTATGTGAATTATATCTCAATAAAATTGCTAAAAATAAAAAAAAACTTTAGTGTCAGAAGTCAGGACGCCTGGAGTTCTGGCTAAAAGTCATTAGCCTTGGTGGGGGGTAGGTGCCTGGAAGGGGATGTGGCGGGGGGTGGGGTGGGGTGGCTTCTGGGAGGCTGGACAGGCCTTATTTCTGGGTGCCGGTTACACAGATGTGCTTGATTTATGAAAATTCCGCAAGCTGTACCCATACAATGACGCACACTTTTCTGTGTGGAGGTCACACTTCAACAAAAGGTTTTTAAGAAACAATATCCCAGTTTAGTGTTGGAACATGCTTCAGGCCCCGTTTACATCCCCATCAATGAGTCCAGCACCAACTAACCGCAGAAATGAAAGACCAGGGCAGGCGGGCTGGCGGTCAGGCTTTGGAATATCCTGCAGTGACTCAGAGCAACAGCTGGAAAGAATCTGTTGCTGCTGACTTCCCAGCCCCCGCTGTCCGCCAGCACCGCCGAGGAGCCGCGGCAGCCCACCGAGTATTCCAGGGCTTGAGAGCTTGGCGGCTGAGGGTCACGGGAGCTAGGCTGGGGCGGGGCAGCTGCTGGAGTTCTAGGCCAGACTCAAAGGCGTTCAGCAAGCCCCGAGACCATTAGCCTCCCTGGCAGGACCCAGCCAGGGACAAGGATGCCTTTATTGCAAAGGATCAGGGGAGGCTGGCCTGGCAGACCAGGAGCTGGGCACACAGCAGTGCACGTTAGAGCAAGGCTCTTGGGGTTTGAATCCAACTCCACCGTTTCCCAGCTCTGTGACCTGGGGCTGTGCGTTCAGCGTTCCAAGCCTCAGTGTCCCCATCAGTGAAATAGGGTTAACAATCATGTCTATTTTTTAGGCTGTCATGAGATCTGAACTAGATGATGATGTAAGCTCTGAACATAGCACCTGGCATGTAGTCAGCATCTAGTAAACATTAGCTGCTATCATTACACGCTGGAGGACATGAGCTGGTTTGTATGGGGTGCCTATTGCATGCCAGGCACCCTTAAGGCAGTTCCAAGTCGCTACCTTCTACTTTTGTTCTGCCCCTCCCCAGTCGACCCATGCCCTACCTCCTCTAGAAACCTCCCTGGCTCAGAAGCCTGGGAACTAACCACATAAATAACTGCTGTGGATTTTGTGCTGCAAATCAGGGGTCTGGTGAGAAGCCAGCAGCAAGGGAGTCTTTGAGTACACTCAAGATTTATGTGGAGTGTTTGTCCCTTCATCCCCAGTGGCAGGTCCACCCTGGCGATCATTTATCAAAGGAGTTTTACAAGGCCCTGAAGTTCATGGCAGTAGCCTGGGATTTCAAGATGGAGGAGGTTGGAGGAATGGTGTCTCCCAGAGGGGGAGACAGAGCTGTTTGCTTCTGGATTCTTTTTCTAGGTTAATGGGAGCCAGGCAAGGTTTTAGGGGCTCTTTGGTTCTGCTCTTTGAATCTGTACCCCATGCTCTTATCCTTAATTGTATAATGCAGTGATTTTTTTTTAAAAAAAGCACTTTGCAGCTTATAAAATACCTCTGCCTCGTTCGTCTTAGGCCCCAGAGATGGAAAGTGGTCCCTCTGCTTCCAGTCTTCAAGGCTACTGTATTTGAAAAAAGAAGGGATGCTAAGATAGTCACCAAACCCGCATGTTTTTAATGTTTACATTGAGCAAACTAGCACAGATTACACACACAAAAGGCAAAGAGATTTCACCAGTCCCGGCAGCTGGGAGCTCACCTTGGTCCCAGGAGCTGTGCCCGTGAGCCTCAGTTTCCCCATCTCTCAAATGGAAACGGTGCTTCCTGCTTTCCTATGTGTCATACAACCTAACAGATGGAAAATGGTTCATAAACCCAGGGCCTCCATAAATCCCAGGTTTTTTTTTCTTTCTTTCTTTTTTTTATTGTGAACGGTTGCATTCTTTCCTCTAAAAAAGGAGGACACACTTTTGCTGGTGGCCTGCCATGTTTGAAGCTCTTTCTGAGGATAGCACAGAGAAATACTTGCTTCATTCTTAGGGGGAAAAAAAAAAAAAAGGAAAGAAAGAAAGAAAAAAATAGGGCAGTCAGATGATAAATTTTGTTTTTCTGGTCCCCAGCGAGCTAGAGGCGAAACACACAGCACACGTAGCCTCTAACAGAGGAAGGATGGACCAGCCTAGGAAGGTAAATGGGTCCTGGAGGGTTGCCAGAAGCGCACGCGCAGGGTAGAGGGAGGGGGAAACAGGCAAAGGCCCCAGTGAGAAGGGAAGTGGGGTTATGGGGTCCGGGGAAGCCGAGGGCACATGGGAGACTTTGATCTGGATTGCTGGCACTGCGGAAGAATCAGACTAGGAGACAGAGCAGTGGAAGGTGGCAGGAATGGCCGGGCAATTCTGGAACTTGGAAGGTTTGGGATACAGCCTGGCATCCCAGGTTCAAGCACGGGTTGCGCCTCTACTGTGTCCCCAGCCTTGTGACACTGGGACAGGACAAGGAAAGCCGCCCAGGCTCTGCCCTAGTGGGAGAGACCGGCCCAGACACAGATACAGAAAATCTCCTGTGCCATGTGCATGGTGCCTGGAAACTAACGCTCCCAACAGGGTAGGAGCTGATTCCTGTGGTTTCTGGGCTGGGACAACCCTGCAAGAAGCTGCACATTTGAGATGTGCCCTGATGTTCCATGCTGACGGCCTCTGGTCTTCTGCAGAACCAAGAGGGGTGTTTCCTCCCCGTTCCCAGTGCTGGGTCTGCCTGTGAGCATCTGCTGTAGCCTTTCAGGTCCACTACACTCACTTCCTAGGAATAGAGGTGCAGCGCACTGGGGAGGCACATCACATGGTCTGGAGGGAGCTGCAGGAAATGGGGTGAAGCTCAGAGGGAAGCAAAGAGATGGCTCTGCCGGGGTAGGAAGGCTGTGGCTCTGGGACGTTTGGGTAGCTCATTCCTGATTGAGCCTTTCACACTTTCCCCTTAGAAATAGGTACTTGGAGTCTACTTTGTACGCGCCGTTAATACAAATGAGCCTTGACGTTTCTCCTCATCTTCTGGCACATACTCAACCTGTTTTGTGTCCAGACATGAACCTGCCAGGGCCTCAGTTTCCTTACCTGTGAAACTGGGGACACATGAGGAGAGGGAGGACGAGACTCTGTAGGTCCTTCCTGCCCTAAAGAGCTGGCCTCTAAGTCTTAGAACAAAGCTAATCTTACTGGCTGACAAAGCCAGGGGGTTATGTAGATGTGCCGCCTGGGTCCAGCCACCAAGCTGCATGACCTTGGGCCTTCCCTTCTCTGTGCCTCTGTCTCCTGACCAGTAAACTGGGGATATAACAGAGCCGACCTCACGGACTTGTTGCAAAGTTTTGGCAAGTTTGCCCTGTAAGTCACATGTCCCTGTGTGTGATTAACGTTCCACCAACGTGTCAAACGCTACTACACAGGCCCAGAGGGTGTGCTTCACCTGGGTCACCTCACTTCATCCTTCCTCCCACCCCGCCCTATGGGGTACATTGTTTTGTTGTCCCTGTTCTACAGATGGGGAAACTGAGGCTCATAGAGGTTAAGTAGCATGCCAAGGCCACACAGATAGTAAATGACAGGGCTATGCTGTCAATCTGGTATGTCAAGCTGTGTCCGAGGCCCATCCCGATGTCATCCACGCACAGATGACCAACAATCGTCACCTGCCTTCCCCCTCCCCTGATCTGTGCCTGCCCGCTTCCTGCTCTTGAGTTGTATGCCAGGAGACTTTCCTGAGTCACTGGGTTCTTGAGGAAAACAAAAACACCTAGCTGGAGGCCTCTCTCCTTCCATTCCTGTCTCACTTATAGGCACATGCACGAACACATGTGTACATATGCACATGAATGCATGCACACAGGTATACACCTCCACATGCACACACACATGTGCACACACACACTTGAATGCATGCACATATACACTAGCACATGCATCACATGCATACACACGCTTTCACACATGTGGCATATACTCAGGCAGTTCTCCTGGATGATTCCAGCTTAGCCAAGAAAACTCCACCTCCCTCTTTTTATCTTGTTGACCCCTGTGGCTCTTCTCTCTCAGACTCTGTGTGTGACCTCATCACAGTGCCCCCCTCAACTCGGAGCACAGACAGGCAGTAGCAGAACCACCTGAACCAAGAAGGGTCAACCAATACACACACACACACACACAGAGTCACCTATAACATGCCAGGCCTTATGCCCAGAGCATCGTGCTTTCTTTGCCTCATTTGATCCTCACACACAAAAAATCTGGTGATGATCACAATCCCATTGTACAGAGCAGGAAACTGAGCTTAGGGAGCGAAGAGATTTGCCCAGGGCTCCTTTAGCTAGAGAGGGATGGGACAGGCCCTGGATATACACAGTGAACAAGACAGATCCGGTTCCTGCCCAGGGAAGGGAGTACCCAGGCTCCTGGGGAGCCAGACAGGGAACAGTCGACAGAAAAAATAAATAAAATCAACAGCAAATTCCTATGCCAGTGAACTGAGACAGAGAATAATAGGGGAGACCTACTTGAAATGGAGAAGGCAGGGAAGTCTCTTGGGGAAGACACTCAGCCAAGACCACAAAGATAAGAGCAGGAGTTGGTTTGGAAAAGACAGCCTGGAAAGGCATTTAAAGGGGAAGGAACAGTATGTGCCAAGCCTTAAGGAACCCATCGAGTAACTTCAGAGTGGACTTGCACTGCCTAAGCTGACATTGTTTTACCAGCAATCTCTTGGTCTGTGTGGGGCTTGATAGTTGTGTTAAGACACAATTAAACAGATCTCACCCTTTAAAGTTTTGCTAACCAGTCCCCCTCCTCTCGCCAGGTATTAAAAATGCCAGAAGCAGGGAAACTCTTGGCCCTGCCCCCAACATTCCTTTGGGACACTTTTGCTGACACAGCTTTTTTTCTGGGTCTGGGTTAGGGCCTGAGTTTCACATTTCTGGTGATGATGATTTTCCTGTTCACTCCTGGACTGTGACCCCTGGAATATCCACTATGGTTTCCAAAGAGGTGGCCCTTTCCTCTTGTTCCATTTATTTATAATGCATGGCCCTCCTCCAAGCCAGAGGCAGCCTAGTTTTATTTACATGTCAGTGCCCCAGAGGGCAGAGGTGCCCACCTGGCACCTTTGTCCCTAGGCTCACTCTAGGTTCCAGCTGGCAGATTGGGACAGCTGTCATCTGCTTGAAAATCAGAGACTTACAGAATTTTGAAGCTGGAAGGGGTGGCATTTCACAGATGGGAAATGTGAGGCCTGGAAAGGCTTGGATTTGCAAAGGCCTCCCAGCCTGAGTCAGAGCATCGGCAAGGACCAAGGAGTCCTGGCCATGTCCCCTGCCGTAGACAGTGTCCATCAGCAGAAGGGTGATGGAGACCAGCTGTTTGCCTAGCAAGGCTTTACAGGGTCTGAATCCCAACTTGGCTACTCGTGAAAAACAGCTTAACCCTCAGTGCCTCCTCTTTCTCATCTGTGAAATGGGCCTCTCACCACACTTAACCCAGAGTTATTGGGAGGAGTAACTGTGCTGATGTATAAAGTGCTTAGAAAAGCACCTTGGCACACGCTAAGGTGTTTCCTCTGTGTGTTAAATAAATACAATGCATCTATACACATATACAATAAATATATGGAAGCAGTTAATCCCCTTCCAGAGCTCCTGTTTAACAAGAGGAAGAAAGACCCCAGAGCTGTTGTGTGACTTATCCTGGAACACACCGCCCTGGACACACGGGACCCCTTGTGCCCCTGGCCAGCAGTGGGCAGGGGTGTGGCAGGCTGAGGACTCTGTCCCCAGGATGGTGCATTCACTCCTGTATTCCAGGAGAAAGGAGACAGCTCCTCTTCCTTCTGTCTCCAAAATTAGAACACCGGGCCCTAGAAGGTGCCCCCAACTCTGGGCTGCTGAGGGCTGTAAGTGGCCCTCATTGGGTCCCCTCCGTTTAGAATGAGGACGGGGCCAGAGCGCCGGGCGTGAAATGGGCTCCTGAGCTGAGGCTGCCACTCTCTGAGAGCTCCTCGGAGGGCTCCTAGGGCTCAGGGATCGCCAGCCACGTCCTTACCTGGCTCCTCCCGCGTCCTGCTTGACCTTTAACTTAAAGACCAGCTGTAGCCACTGATGGGTTTCCGTGGGTCCCCGAGGAGACCCTTCAGATGGCTCGAGCCCGGCGCGCTGGAGAGAGCCCCTAATTGGGGCCATGAATCATCGTTCGCGGCTCCCGGCTGGACACAAAATAGATAGAGGAGCCGGCGCGCTATTGTGCGCAGTTTGGGACGCGGGGGGAGAGGCGGGGAGAGGGGAGGAGGGGGGAGGA